CATTTTCTAGATATTTTAGCAAAGTCAGTGAATTTTCATTTTTGCCGCTTTTTCTTGGTGGTGAAATCCACAGTACTCACCATAGGCCACAACCGCCGTAACTGACTGTTGCGTTTTTGTGTGTTCGTTATGGGCAAGTACTTGAATGCAGCTGAGAGAATTGACTTCGATTGACAGTCCTCATGATTAGCAACCACTTCCCAAGCTAAACCAGCAACAGAACGAAGTGCTGCATCCACCTGTATGAGAGATGATTCTAAGCGAACAAAAAAATAAAGGTGCAGACAGGATACAGCATCGTGATGTGTGAAATGGTGGTTTTGGTACGACCCCCCTCGAAAGAAGGCCTCGGTACGACCCCCTCCTGTCCAGCACCTACCTACCAATCTTCCACATTTTCCGGTTTTTACCCGGAGATGAGATTTTCCGTCGAGAATTTTGAAAATTTCTCTATTTTCCGCAAAAATCATAATTCTTGCGGTCGGGAGGATAAAGTACATGTGAAACAGGAAAAATCACGAAAAAGGATACAACCGGGAAAAATATTTTCTAACTCAGCAAATTCCTTTCGAAGGCACATACGACCCTTCTCTCCCAACAACGACCAGATACTACCCTCCCTTCCCAATGGAAAAGTACGACCCCCGCCTATGTGTTTCACACAACGATGCTGTACCCTGGATGCAGAATGATGACATTAAGAAATATGAGGTACCTTTGCATCCGGAGTAGCATTGCGAGCCCGTCCTATTTGCTCAATCGCAGCTAGGACATTGCCAGCCATGAGATGGACTAGAGCGATAGGAACAGAAGCGTCTAAGCCTGTAGACTTCGATGATGGAGCATTAACGGGATGACGGCAGAGAAAATGACGAGAAACTGCCTGAAAACCAGTACAACATGGAATAATGCTGCAGTTTCATGATGAAATTGTTCAAGGTTTAAAACCATGGGACATACCTGAATTGTTGGCAAGTCGCATCCTCTAAGGCGCGTCATGAGTTGCTTTTGATCGAACGATGTGGAAACACTATCTTCAAAGAATAATTAATTACTAAGGAGGGTCAAGATTACGCGACTCGGAGCAATTGTGAATGTGGACAAACCTTCATCGTAAAAACGAAGTTCAACTTCAGGAATTAATGTTGGTTTAACAACGAAAGATGCATCATCAGGCAATGAAACACATCGCTTTGCAGCCCCAGCGCCGTCCTGCTGTAATATTACTGTTCGCGAAACATCGAAATGAAATACCTATGACCATGATGCATACAAGAAGTATTCTACAGCCTTTTTCACTGCGGACGAAATGGCGTATCAGACGGGATGGGGTTGGCGCGGCGCCAACTCTGTTTTCCACCAACTGTTGAAGCGAGCAAGCGATAATATTGCATAGTACCGTTCGCATCAGTCCCCTAGTTTACCCCTAGTTCCGGTCGCGTACCCGCTTCAACACTGCTGGAAACGAGTCTGGCGCTGCGGTAAACGCCTCCCGCCTGATACGCCCATTCATCCGCAGCAAACAAGACTGTATGCCTAGGCATCACTCTATTGCTCCCAGCTAGTGGGGGAAACCCAGTAAGGCAGGATAACCGGTCCAGGAGAACTGCCAGACACCTGCAGAACTGTGAGCAGAAGGTCCTACTGTTCCAATAAATCAGTGATCAGTTGAAAAGACAAACCTTTTGTGCCTGGTAAAAGTATTTCTTCGTTAGAGATGGAGTTTTATCCGATGGAACACCACACTGTGCGTAATCATTCCTGCCCCACCCAAAAGTCCGCCCATCCTTTGAGACGCCAATGGTATGATTTCCTCCTGAAGCAATCACAATTACACCCTGAAAACAAACGATCACAATAAGAGCCTGCTACTAGTTGATACAGACAAAGAGAATTCGCGACAGAATGAGGAGAGAATGAAAATGATCCCACCGAGGAGCAAAATACAACAATCATAAGGAGCGTTCAGAGTTCTCGATGACGCGCGTCGACTCGCGACGACGCGCTACAATTCACAGCAGCGCTCCAATACTATAGAGGCGAAAGCAGCCGCATACAGCAATCAATCGACGCCGGCCGCTCGTGATGGAGAGAGTATAGGATGACACGAGAGTGGGCCTGCCTCCACACCTGGTACTCTCTCGTTTTTCTATACTATCCTAAAGCGCTGGAGGTCACTGCCGATCGATACCAGTCAGTGGTCCGTTGGCGTCTATAGCATGGAAGGCTGTTGCGATTCTAGCGCATCGACGCGCGTCAATGGGAAGTATGGACGTTGCCTAAGATGACCTATCAAATGAATACAACAGGAAATCAAAAGTACCTACCGCACGCTACCAGCTTCCATTTTACATCACGAGGATCGAATAAAATATGTGGTTCGCTGCGTTCAGTCTTGTTACCGTGACCCAGTTGAAAATCAAGACCCTGCGAATAAACAATATTCATGAGAATTAAAACCTAAAAAAAACTGGGATACACCCACCTTTCCCCACGTGAAAAGCGATCCTTGATCAGTGACGACTGCAATATGAGACAGCCCTGTGGAAGCGTCAACCACTGTCCCGTCAAGAAGGTGTAACACTTCTCGAACGCCTAGGTCATCACGTGGAGTGTCCATA